TCTTAATGTGGTGCTCATATGTATTTCACGCCTCATTCACATTCGCAATTTCGCCCCCAGGTCTCGGGCCCTGAGAGTCTTTGGCAGCCAACAGCATCATCGACACTCCCTCCCGTTAGACTGTAATCTATTATCTCCTTCATTAGATGAGTAACAGGAGGTGTCCTTCTGCCACAATGATCTGAGGCATTAGAAGAAAAGTATGCTGATTTAAAGAACATTTTCAGTAAGTGACGGAGATTGCCCTGACTCGAAAAACCAGATTTGAGATCAATTTCTTAAAATCAATCAAATTGTCTCTTTCTTGATGGGAGTACAGAGGCCCAGCCTCCCTCCCTCCCTGATAGTTGACATTGGAATTTACATAACTTGTGTAATTTAAGCGGGGCAGGGAAACTCGCCCTCCCCGCCCAGCACACATCATGCTGGGTCCTAGCCCTTTGTACTCACATACCCTCTGTGCCTAGCTCAGTGCCCGGTGTAGTAAGAGCTCACAAAGTAGCTGTTAATGAACGAGTGAATGTTCAAAGGTCAACTTCCTGCATTTCATAACCCTACTTCCAGCGTGCCTTCCACAGGCCCCAGACATCGCTGCTGCTTTTACTGGCGCTGTTGACAGTCCCCCAGTAACCTTTTACTGACAATTTGCCCAACTCCACAGCGATTGCTTGTCAAAAGGGATGATCCCCCCTCCCACGAAACCGGTGACACGAAAGATTTCCTTTTAGGTAAGTGACTGAGGAGGAATGGACACTTAGAACGAGAAAGAAAGAGAGCACTCGTTTTCCGAAAGGATTCAGGAGTAAAAAGGAGGCGATAGCTCCTTTTACATAGCACAACCTGAAAAGGAATTTAATTATTATCTAGTGAATTCAATCAGACGAAGCCAGCCAAAACAACTCATATTTCTGGCATGAAATATCTGGTTTGGCTGTCCATCCCAACCAAATCAACAGAAACCGGTGCCAGACTCCTGTTTTATTGTGGTGTATTGGCACAGACATACTCTTCTTGTTAAAAAAATAAATAAATTAAATAAAAAAGGTTCTTGAGTACAAATCCAGCAGCTTCTGGAACGCTAACACACACCAAGGATGTTGGGAAGGACTGGACTCTCAACTTCAGGAGAAAGAGAGCACGACCGCCAAGGGCTCTAGGGCCACAAGTCAAACATGAGGTTCCAAGGACAAAAACCCACCCAGATTCCCCAGAGTCGAAATGCGACGTAAGAACAATCAAATGTGCAGCATCTTCTCCAAGATGCTGATCCCAGAGATGCAAGGGCCTCCCGCATGGCAATCTCTGCCTGCACAGACCCTGGCACGCTGGACCTGGCGAGCACTAAGCCTGTCAAGCCCTTTCCTATTGGAAAGCACTTTCCATGAAAGGGTGACCTGAGTCCTTATTGTTGGGTTCCTGTCAGGAGCCGAAAAGACCAGCGAGGACAAAGGCGGCGAACCCCAGAGGATGGAGCGGAGGGACTTCCCAACGGCCGTTTGTTCTGTGGCCAGTGAACGTGGTGATGAGTAGCTGATTTCATGTTAGTTAAGCTTTGACATGGAACTGTCAACAGTGGAATAAGGTGGCCTATGAGACTCAGTACGGACCCAGCGTGACCCCATGGAGGCACAAGCTAATCAGTGCATCTCTGCTTTATCTCAGACACTCAAGCCCCAAGGGTTACACTGGGTCTGCAGGCGAACCGTTGCCTGGCAGTGTTTTGTTCTGTTAGTTGTATGAACACATAAAACTCTAGAGCAGCGGTTCTCAACCTGTGGGTCTCGACCCCTTTGGCGGTCGAATGACCGTTTCACAGGGGTCGCCTAAGACCATCCTGCATGTCATATATTTAGATGACGATTCATAACAGTAGCCACATTACAGTTATGAAGTAGCAACGAAAATAATGTTATGGTTGGGTCACAACATGAGGAACTGCATTTAAAGGGCCAGAAGGTTGAGAACCACTGCTCTAGAGGTTCTTAGAACATTCACGATTTGGGGATCCTTTGAAATCCTAGAAGATCGGGCCCTGTTGACCCCTGGAAATGATCAGCTGGAGCTGGTAATTTTCAGGTCCCCATAGTCTCCTGGCCTCCCTCCGCCTACACTGCTCTGCAGGCCTGGCCACTTGGTACTGATCATCGCACTGGTCCATGCCACTTCTCCTGTCGAACAGAAACATTCCTCTGAACCCATGACCCCAGCGGAGTAGGAAACCGAACAGTGGCCGGAAATGGCAGTTTCCTAAGTGGAGGTCACCGGATTGGCCGCTGGAGGCATTGGAGCCCGCTTTTCCCATTTAAAAGAGTGGACCCTGACTCTGTTCCCTAGTGACATCGCCCAACACACTGGGGAGTGTCCAGGGGGGGTGTGTAAATTGCAGAAACACCTCCTCCCTCTCCTTCTCACCAGGTCATACCCCACTTTGGGGTAGAATCATTGCGCTTAAAACGGAAGGAAACTCTCATCGAATCCATCAGGCATTCCAATGAATCCTAAGTGTCTAAGTTACTGTGTTGCTTGGAAATGACTTGAGACTGACACCTTAAAAGGATCTTTGGCAAACTAAATAATTATGGCCCTTGTCTTCACACCGGCCTGGAAAGAGAGCTGCCACTTCTTTCTTAATGGCCCCAAGTGACAGCATCCCCAACGTGCCATTAGGTTACTTTTTTTAAAAAAATAAAATTTATTAGATCATAATATTGTCTGAATTTACCACCTTTGTCAAAAAAGCCAACTCAAAGCTTCCGATGTAGTCTATAATTCCTCAACCAAAGACAGCAACTTATGGATAGCTTCAGCATCTATAGTCGACCTTTCACTAGCCAGACAAACTTCCCGAAATAATCTTAGTGAATGAGTCGTCTTCTCAAATTCTCTTGCTTTTCTATGTGCCTTTTGAATAACCTCCTCTGGGAAACGAGCAAGCCTTGCTGCATTAAAGCTTTTAGGACAAGCCCCCTTAATGAATTCATAAAGGAAGGTAACATCCCAGGTGACTGGGATCTATTTATTACATTTTAAAAGTTCATTTCATATGGGTTGTTTGCAGCTTAGCATGCCTGTCTCTTTAACAACAGCATTATACAGATTGATGAATTCACTGAGGTTTACCCACAAATTTCCCTTTAACCATGCAAAAGGGATTGCATCATCATATTTTTTCCCAGCACAATTACTCAATGAAGCCTCTTATTCCTTCCATAGATTTGACGTGGTAAGTATTAGAAAATACTAGGAAATGCCACTTCAAGTTAACCACCAACTAGGCTTGCTACCAGGGGAAGTAGCATTTCCTCAAATGCTTCCTAGTGAGGGTTTTCCCCTTATAAAGGGTAACATGGGGTGTTTAGCACAATTACCAGAAAGCAGAAACCTCGAAACACTGATCCCACCCTTGAAGAGAGCGGATAAAGGAACCAGGACGCCTCCGTTTGTGTCCAGGAAAACAGCAGGTACTCAATTCAGGTGCCAGCCAGGGGGATGGGGAGGAGGGAGTCCCCGCTCCAGAAAATACGATGGCGGAGGTGGGTTCTGTCCACTCATCGCTGCAAAGAACTTGTGTCCCAGATAACAGGGGCACGTGGATAACAAAGTGAGGCTGTGCCCTCCTGTCAGCACCGATCTAGCCTCTGTGATAAGGCTGCAATGATTACCCCTGGTCAGCAGCAGGCCAGGCCAGTTTCAAAAACAAGGCTCCCAAGTCATCCTATCCTATCCGCATGATCGTTCGATGGGCCATTCTCCCTCCAATGGGAGCTCCCTGTGCGTGCAACCACTTGTTGAAATACCTGGGCAAGTGGGGGCCAGCATCCATCTGCCAGGCGGTGAGGAGGAATCTGACATAGTTTCTGTCCATGTAATGGACATGCCTGGACCCCCCCAGGCATGAAGTGGTTGGACTTGTGCTCCAGGACCTTTGAGCTGGCCTGTGAAGTTCCCATGACACAGAGTGCATGCGGGGAGAGTGTAAATGCCCTTGAGAACGCCCCGGGAGGGGAGAGATGCGCAGGCCCAGCTCACCTAGGCGGAGTGACTTGCCTAAGAGGGGACCGTGAGCCAAGGGTGGAAGCGAGAACAGGGTGAGTGGTACCCGAGCGCTGGGCCTTAGCTCCCCACCCAGAAACCATCCTGCTGGGCAGGGTCAATGGACACTCCGCCTCGAAGTCAGAGATGGGCGGTGGGGGAAGAGAAGAGTGGGCAGAAAGGAACAGTGACGTCTGTTCCCTGCGGCGTCTTGGCTCCGTTGCGCTCAGCAACCACAGACACACGCGAGGCTAACCATTCCCACGCAGGAGTGCGTGGCTGTCTCGCTGTCATGGGAAGAGGATGCTACCCTGTAGAGTTGCCCTCGCTGGAAATCCAAGTGTCAGCTGACAAAATACCAGGATGGGGACCACTCTCTCACGCCCCCCGCCCCCCCACTTCTCCCACAAGCTAAAGGGTGACAGTGAGGGGACACCCGGAGAAGGCAGCGGAACCGCGCGGGTTCACCAGGGAAAGGCAGCGCTGGCGCCGCGATGGTGAGTGCGTGGTGAGCATCACCTCTTGATGGGGCTCCCCAGAAGGCTCCCCAGAAGGCTCCCGCTCACGTCCCGTGGCTCTGAGAACAAGCATCCTGCATCAATAGCTAACAGGCTGTCCAACCAGAGGCTCTCTGGGTGGGATGAGAGGGTGAGAAAACAGACCTGTTGTATGTACGCTCTTGTGAACCTGCGGCCGTGGTCAGAGGGGCTGCCGGTGCCGTTTGATCAGTAGGGCCCCTCCTCCGTGGGGAGGCAGACCAGATTGCGTGCCTGTTTCAGTGTCTCCTCTTGTGATGGGTAGCATACAAGGTGCTATCGGTCATGCATTCCCAAAGCGCCTTTCCATCATGTTGAAGGAATTTTTTGGTTTTGTTTTTTCCCCCTAGAACAGAGCATGCATCCAGCAGAACCCCAAAGAGCATGTTTCCTAAGCAACCCTGGGGCGCGCTTTCACGGCTGCCGCGGTACCTGTGACGAGACTGGAGATGATCAGCGGCAGCACCAGCATCTGCAGCATCCGCATGAGCAGCTCCCCGGGGAAGGAGAAGTACTTGACCTCCCGGTAGGTCATTCTGTACGGCCGGAGTGTGAATCCCAGGATTGTCCCTAAGGCGGGGGGAGAAGAGAAGAAGAAGAAAAACAGAGTCTTTTTGAAACTGAAGTAATAGTCCTAGAAAACGGAATAAGGATTTGTCTGGTGATCACGCCTGTCGGGACAAGAGTAACTTTATTTAAGCAACAAATATCTGTGCTCTTTTGAGAGCGAGGGCTGTGCCCAGCTTTTCAGTCGGTCTGGGAGGGGATGGCAGAACCCAGGGCTTCAGGTAGAAGTTGTGGAAAAGTTCTTTGTCTGACTTAAATGCGGTGGAATCCACTTGGACATGGCTCAGTACAGAGGTACAAAGATGGGGGCATAGCTAGGAGACAAATCATGTATCCCCGAACAAGGCAATATAATGAAGTCCCGCCGAAACCAGTTTGGCTCAGTGGATAGAGCGTCAGCCTGCGGACTGAGAGGTCCCAAGTTTGATTCCGGTGAAGGGCATGTACCTGGGTTGCGGGCATATCCCCAGTAGGAGATGTGCAGGAGGCAGCTTATCAATGTTTCTCTCTCATCGATGTTTCTAACTCTCTATCTCTCTCTCCCTTCCTCTCTGTAAAAAATCAATAAAATATATTAAAAATATATATATATAATGAAGTCCCTTCCTACAGCAGATGTTTAGAACGGCTAGCATAATGGCCTATAGCGGGTGGTATAATTTTATTTTTTCCAAAAGAAACCAAACACCTCCTCCCGTTCACGCTGCTAAGCCATTTGCATCATTCCTGTCCCCGCACACCACTCTTTCTACACGGTCTTGGCATCGCCTGGGCAACCGTATTGTACAGACTTGTTAGCTCCTGGCAAGAGAAGACGGCAAAGTGAGCGGAGACTTTTTTCTCAACCATTTTCCCCTTAAACTTAGAGGAAATTAAGGGAAGGAGACGGCAATTTTCTCCTTAATTTTCCTTCCGCTCCTGAAACTTTAAAACATATGTTTAAAATAATAACTTTATGTGTAAATCCAATTGCCCATGCTACCTTTTGAAATATTTGGAAATTAAGAAAGGTATTGAATAAATTTGACTACTTCTCCCTTCCCCTAATTCACGTTCTTTGCCCCAAAAATTTAATTACTCCATCGTTGTAAATTTTTTTCTTTTGCTCAGCTATTACTAAAATGTGTCTTATAGAGATGTAGCTATTCATGTAAGCTACTGGTTAGGGGGTTGAGAGAGAATACGGGGTAGACACAAGCTTTTCCAAAGGATGTAAGCAGTCTTTCCAGGAAGCTGCACCATCCTAACTTCTTATGATATGGGGCACAAAGTTCATTTCAAGTGTCACTGCACCTCCAATTTCAACTCCTGGGTCTCAGCAACCACGGACATACTCTGATACTCCAATTAGGAGTCTGCATCTATGTGACTAAAAAAAAATCATCTGTTTCACTCCGTTTTCTGGGTCCTCGGGAAAACATTTATTGCTTTTTTTCTAATGTAACAGTAATACATTCAAGAGAGAAACGTTGATTTGGAAAATGTAGAAAAGTGTCAGCAAAAGTCTGCCCATATTGGTTCCACCACTGAAATAGCACGTAGCTCATGCTTTGCTGAGCTCTTAGTATCCGCCGGCATTGTGGGCTGTGCTTTACCTGTGTTAGAAAATGTAGTTCTCACAAAGCCCCCAGGAGGTAGGTGCCACTTAATCACTAAATCACTGATGGAGAAATCTAATCACAGGGAACTTAAAACTTGTCCAATTCCAACAGCTACTCAATCTCAAAGTCAAGTAGCTACTCAAGTGGCAGAGCTGGGAGTGAAGTCCAGGCAGTTTGGGCTCAGATCTCACATCCTTTTTATTTTTCTGTGTGTGCGTGTGCGTGTGTGTGCGTGTGTATGTGTGTGTGTATGTGTGTGTTTAATTGACTTGAGAGAGAGAGAGGAAGGGAGAGGGATAGAGAGAGAAACATTGATGAGAGAGAAACATCATCGATTGGCTGCCCCCTGCACACTCCCTGCTGGGGATCAAGCCCACAAACCCAGGCACTGACCAGGAATGGAACTGTGACCTCTTGGATCCTAGGTCGACGCTCAACCACTGAGCCACGCCGGCCGAGCAGATCTCACACCTCACATACTTCCTGCCTCTCCACTTAGGGGAAAGACCACCCCTGTTAGTGCTCCCTTGAGCTTCTTTCCAGAAGAGTTAAATAAATGGAAAGCAAGCAGGAGATATTTTTCCAGATATGGTCACGATAAACTTCAATTTTAGGTCTCATGATATCAAATCCAATGATTGTGTTAAAACTTCCTTAATACTTCCTTTGAATGAGAAGGCTTTATTTTCTATACCTCGGGAGCTGAGAGTCTTATTATAAAAAATTGTTAAAACAAGCAAAAATTATAAATTTGCTGAGTAAATGGTATGTATTCTTTGTTTTTCCTTTGAATTTACTTAATATCTAAAGATGTTGATCCTTTCTCCTAATTGTATTTTCTCCAAGTGTTTTCTAAATCCTACTAGTTTAAGAGTTTATATATGAATATATGTATTTGGTACAGATTCTTTACATAATCAAGATAATTACCCTTTGCCTATAAAATATTTGCTAAAATTATTTTTCTAATTTGCTTGCCATATATTATTACTTTAAAATATACAGGTGTTTTGCACTTTATAAAATAATGTCTGTGTATCTTTATTATTAGGTGATTTGTTCAAGAGTTATAAACTTTCACTTCCCTTCCTCTCCTAATTTTAATACATCTTTAATTCAGTTTTGCTTCTTTGTTTGCTTGCTTGCTTTGTTTTAAGATACTGAACTTTTCATCTTCCTGAATTTGGTTTGGGGTAAGGCATTGACTTCGGAGTTTCAGTACAAGACCCTGGTTATACCTGGGTCTTTCCTGCTTATTCATACCAAGACTTTATTTCCTAATAAGAAAGTAAATCAATAAAGACTTATACTTGCCGAAACCAGTTTGGCTCAGTGGATAGAGCGTCAGTCTGCGGACTGAAAGGTCCCAGGTTCGATTCCGGTCAAGGGCATGTACCTGGGTTGCGGGCACATCCCCAGTGGGAGATGTGCAGGAGGCAGCTGATCGATTTCTCTCTCTCATCGATGTTTCTGACTCTCTATCTCTCTCCCTTCCTCTCTGTAAAAAATCAATAAAATATATTTTAAAAAAAATAAAGACTTATACTTTTTACTTTACTTCTAAGTCAAATGTAATTTCACTGGAATTCTGTTTGCTGGCCTTTATTTAAATGCATTAAAACTTTTGTCATTCAATTATAACAAAAAAAATATATACACAGGAAACTCGCTTTGGTCATTTGGAATTTGAACATATCAAGTTAATAGAATTTTTCTATATCCTCCAAGTAACTATTTAAGACCAGGTTTGGGTTTACAAGGACATCTCTAAGCTGGCTGTTACTAGAAATGTCTCTATCATATACAACAATATTTCCAAGGGTCAGTAGGACCCACGCTAGTCCAGAAAATCTATTTAAGTTATAAGTTAGAAAAAATGGGTAGAATAGCTGCTCTACAAATGACACAGATTCTAGGAGCAAGGGACAAGTCAGTGTAGATGGAGGAAGAGATTTTTCTTTCTAAACACCAGGGGCACTTGATCCCAACCCCCAAGGTCCAATCTTTGCCAACACGGATGCTACTCTCCTCTCTACAACCACACCAGGGGCACGCTTCCCGCCTCTTTCTCTCCTGGGTGCTTCAAGTACCTTGTCTCCTCTTCCTCCATCAAACCCCACATTTACTCAGTGCAACTGGTTTTCGTCTAGGTGTTAGAAGGCAAAGCCAGCCAGCTCAGTGAATGGATTCTGGGCACCGTGTGAATGATAAAGTCTCTTAACTCCCCAGTCTGCCAAATAAATATCTAACAGACAACAGCAAGACAGTCAAGGAGCCAACATCTCAAGAGGTGGTGAGATTTTTTCCTTCTGTCTTCTTCCAGTCAACAAGCCGGTTTGCTTGGAAGTACAGTCCTGACATCAACAACTCTAGTCTGTCTCAGTTTCTTTACATTCTCCAATGCAAGAACCGCATTTTCTAAAAGCTCCTGTTTATAGTAGGGACACCAGAGGAGATATCACTTATTTATAAGGGCTAGTTTTAAGTGAAATGCTTTGAAAACAGGAGTTATTTAGACTAATAAAGATTGTTAATACTTTAAATCCGTTTTGTTCCTGACCACGCTTTGATCTGTTTACTATCTGGGTTTCCCAAGCGAGCCAGGCCTACTCTTGGGGAAGAGATCATGTTGCAGAAGGGGAAGATTTATTGAGCCCTTACTGTGTGTTAATGGTGGCATGATCCTCATCGCAGCTGTATGAAGTAGATATTATCATGTCTATTTTCAAGATGAATACACTAATTCATCTTACTAAAGGTTACAGAGCTAGGAAGTGAGGGATTCTAAACAAAGCCTTCTACTACCTATGATGCCTCTTCAACACAAACACAGCCTTGCAGCCTGAGGGTGTTCAGCATCTCTAGCCTCTAAACTGTGGGAACATTGGAGTGATAATCTTGGATCTGCTGGAGGTGTCCTGGACACCTTGAAACCCATTACAGGTCCTACACATGAGGACCTCAACATATGGCTATTCGTACCATGTCACTGTTTAAAAGGGCTACACTAAATCCCCTTCTGTGGCATGAATTAACTTGTATGAAATTTATTAATGAAAATAGCCTGCCTTTTCCCTCCACAGCACACATTTAAATTCTTGGAAAGCATCAGCAGCAAAAGTGGAAAGGACATTACTTGCTTCAGGTTCCCGTGGGTAATGACAACAGCTAACAGTCCTCAGCACGTACAAGACGCCGGGTCCTCACAAGGACACTGCCTCACAGGTCAGTGGAGGCCGGGACGACTAGCAGAGGAAGGAGCAGAGTCACTGAGAGGCCAGGTGAACTGCCGGAACCCCCAGAGAGCACAGGTTGGAGCAGTGGTCCATGTAGAGAGGGGTCAGCCGGCTTCCCCAAGGCCAGGTGAGTGCCTGGAAGTCTTCACACCCACTTATCCCACTC